GAATCCTCTATGGCTGAAAGTGATGCTACTTTGAAATGGCATAATAGGTTAGCCCATGTGAGTGAGAAATGTTTACAAATCTTAAGTCAGAAGGGTGCCTTTGGTAGTGATGTAATTTCCAAAATTCCCTTTTGTAAATATTGTACCTTAGGCAAACAATATAGACTTCACTTTAGTACAGGAAAACATAAGACTACATCTATCTTAGAGTATATACATTCTGATTTGAGGGGTCCATCATCCACCACCTCCCAAGGTGGGAATAGGTACTTCTTATCCTTAATTGATGATTTTTCAAGAAAAGTATGGGTATTTCTTTTGAAACAAAAATCAGACACTTTTGAAAAATTTAAAACTTGGAAGACTTTGATTGAAAATCAAATGGATAAAAAGATTAAAATTCTAAGGACAGATAATGGATTAAAATTTTGTAATATTGATTTTGAAAAATTGTGTATGGATGATGACATTCTAAGACATAAAACAGTACCATATACTCCATAACAGAATGGTATAGCTGAAAGAATGAATAGGACAATTCTAGATAATGTTAGATGTATGATATTTAGTTCAGGTGTCCCTAAGGTGTTGTGGGGGGAGGCTGTTATGACAGTAGTTTATATCATAAATAGGACCCCAACTAGTGCATTAGATGATAGGACACCTGAGGAGGTGTGGACAGGTAGGTTGGCTGACTATTCACACATAAAGACTTTTGGATGTGCAGCATATGCACACCAAAGTATAGGAAAACTTAAACCTAGATCCCAGAAATGTGTTTTCATGGGATATCCTAAAGGAGTGAAGGGGTACAGGCTTTGGGTGAGAGAAATTGGGGGTTTTAAGATGATAAACAATAGGAATGTGATCGTCAATGAAAGAGAGATGCCTTGCTTAGATAAGAAGGCCTCTAGTGAGGAGCCTAAGTGCTAGGAAGAAGAGAATACTAGGCTGCATATAGAACTTGAAGCTTCACTTGATCTTACAGTTGAAATTCAAGAGGAAAATGAAACTGTGGAAGAATCAGGTGATGAAACAGTTGAAGGACCTACTGGTGAGTTAGTGAACCCTTTAAGTAATTATCAGTTAACTAGAGATAGGGTTAGAAGAGAAATAAGAAAGCCTATTAGGATGCAAGACTATTTGTCACTTGCTATGTTGTCATATTAGGATTTAACTTTTAAGGAACCTAAATCCTATGAGGAGGCTATTAGTTATCAGTTCTCCAAGGAATGGCAGCTTGCTATGGAGGAAGAAATGAGGTCCTTAGTGAAAAATAAGACCTGGTGCTTAGTGCCTAAACCTGAAAATAAATCTCTAGTTGACTGTAAATGGGTTTATACTGTTAAAAAAGGAAATCCAACTAATCAGCTCCTTAGGTTTAAGGCCAAATTAGTGGCTAAGGGGTTTACCCAAAAACCTGGTATTGATTATAATGAAATATTTTCTTCTGTAGTGAAATATACTACTATTAGAGTCATGCTTGCATTAGTTGTACATTATGATTATGAATTAGAGCAAATGGATGTTAAAACTGCGTTTTTGCATGGAGACCTTGATGAAACCATATATATGAGACAGCCACAAGGTTTCATTGATAATAAAAAAATCTGATCATGTATGCCTGTTAAAAAGATCACTTTATGGCATAAAACAATCCCCTAGGCAATGTTATAAACGTTTTGATAACTTTGTGTCTTTAGTTGGCTTTATGAGAAGTTCATTTGACCATTGCTTGTATTTTAAAAGGGGTAACAGCAACTGTGTGACTGTTTATTTGTTGTTATATGTGGATGATATATTGTTAATTGGCCAGAAAATAAGTGATATTAATGAGATTAAAAATAAGCTAAGTGCTGAATTTGAAATGAAGGATCTTGGGCATGCTAAAAGGATTTTAGGAATGGACATTAAAAGGAATAGGTCTCAACAGTTATTAATGTTATCACAAACTGATTATGTGAAAAAGGTCCTATCCAAGTTTGCTATGCATGATTCTAAATCTGAAACATTACCCCTTGCATGTCATTTTAAGTTGAGTAAAGATTAGTCTCCGCATGATGAATCTGACCTTAAATATATGGAAAATGTGCCATATTCAAATGCTGTTGGTTCTGTAATGTACACCATGGTTTGCACACGACCCGATGTTGCACATGCTATAAGTACCTTAAGTAGATTTATGTCCAACTCTGGCTCAGAACATTGGAATGCAATGAAATGGTTTTTAAGGTACTTGAAAGGCTCAACAGACTTAGGCTTATGTTTTAGATCTAGTAAAGAGGGAGTTAGTTTAAAGGGATACGTAGATTCTGACTATGCTGGTGATAGAGATAACAGGAAATCAACTACTGCCTATGTGTTTACTTTATGTGATACTTGTATAAGTTGGAAGTCTCAATTGGAATCAATTGTAGCCTTATCAACTACTGAGGCAGAATATGTGGTTGCAACTGAGGCCATCAAAGAGGTTTTATGGCTGAAAGGTCTTCTAAGTGAGGTAAATGAATTTGTTGAACCTGTTGTTGTTTACTCTGATAGTCAAAGTGCCATACATTTATGTAAAAATCCAGTCTTTCATGAAAGAACTAAACACATAGATGTGAGAATGCATTTTATTAGAAATATTGTTGAAAAGGAATATATTTTGCTTGAGAAAATCCCTTCCCAGTTTAACCCAGCTGATATGGGCACTAAGGTACTTCCTCTAAATAAGTTTAAGTCATGTTTGCAACTCTTAAGAATTGATACTGGGTAAACTTTGTGTTTGTGCAGGTTTTATCTGACTTGGTGCTGGTGATCTGCAAAAATTATATCAACTGCTTTAAAGTTTTTGTTATATTTTTTTTTCTTGTGTGAGTTTGGATCATTGGTATCAAGGGGAGATTTATTGGGCTGTGATGCCAAAATTACTTTTTGAGTGCCCAGCCTATTTGGGGCAATGATGATATAAGGTCCAACAGATACTACCCAACCCATTGCCCAATAAATCAATGTTTAACTAGCTGAAACCCGGCCCAAACCAATTAAACTATGCAAGTCGCTCTGGACCGTTTGATCAACTTAACCTAAAATCTACGGTGGCTACCCATAATATATAAAGGAGGGTTGAGACTCGTTTAGCCCTAATTTGAGTCATATTCTCTCTGCCTCTGTGATTTTTCTCTCGAACCTTCTGGGTCTCTCTCTTCGTGACTGTGTGTCTTCTGCTTCTTCTCTTTCTCTGTAAATATTGAGATTATGCCATTAAACTACTGGTTTTGTGGCCTCTGTGTATTCCTACAGTCTGTGTGACTGTTCGGTTGAGTTTTGTTGGGAGTTCTCAGTTAGGTCTTGAGTGTTCTTGGTTAATTGAAGTGACTGCCTCTGTGTTTTGTGGTTTGGGACTGTGGTTTATGAGTTTTACTTTGTACAGACGGGTACAATGCTAAGATCTGAGCCCTAATCAATGAAATCTTGATGCCTTTGTGTCTGAGAGTTTTCTGTCTTAGTTGAGTCGATTTGGGTATTTTCTTGTAACAAAATCTTTTACACATTTGGATGAAGTGAGGAATTCATTCATACCATCGGTAAAGTTTTGAAGACCGCGACTGATCCTGAAGCAAAATCATGTCGTTCTATGTAGTATGTATAAAGCTTAAAATTTTAGACAAGATGGTATCCTAATCCGATAAAGCCTATCTGCAAAATAGTGTGCAGGTTTCAGATTGAAAGAAAGATGAATAAAAGGGATGTTAAAGACAAAATTTAAACAAATAGTAAATACATAGGACATTATTTTAATTTCATCTTAAAATTGGGTATGGGCGGCAGTAGTTAGTGCGTAAGCATCATAATGTGGGTAATAATCCATCAAAAAGCATGTTACCGAAACCCAAATATGGAATTTTTATTAAGCAAATTGCATAAAGTGACAAGAAAGCAAGCAAAGCAAATCAATGGTTGGTCAAGAATTAATTTATCACATTCAGGTTTTCTTTTTATGAATGCATATGGCTCTCCTCTGATCATTCACTATCTTTGATGCAGAAGCATGATAATTATGTATTTGTGCATGAGCTAGCTTTCTTGATAAGCTCTACACTTTTTTATTTATAATTATTATTTTTTTTAATATATTAGTATGAATTATTAGATTCCGTCTTTTCAGGTTGACCCTTGATGTTTGAGATGGACCAAGATCAATTCCTTGCTATCAAGAGGATGCGCTAAATGGATAGACGACGAGGGCATGCTGAAAGTACATGAGAGTCAAAACTTTGATGAACACGAATATTTTGATTATCGAGTGTCTTAGCACCATAGTTTGCACTAATAGACTATGTAGGTTATATATATCATGAATCATTACTTAGACTCAAATTAGAGGAAGGGATCAATACATATATCTTAGCCCCTGTTTAGTGTTGAATAAAATTAGATTTTTAGTATATTTTAATAAAAGTTGATAAAATATATGACTGAGAAGTTGTGAGTTTCATAAAATGTACGGTTCAATTCCCTACTACCTTTTCTTTCATTTTCAATTATTAATTATACTTGTCTGAAGTCAGAAACACCACACACATAATTGTCATAATAGTAAGAAAATACAAAATATATTCGACATGTACATACATGTTTACACGTACACGCACCCAAACAGAGAATGTCTTAGCACCATAGTTTGCACTAATAGACTATGTAGGTTATATATATCATGAATCATTACTTAGACTCGAATTAAAGGTAGGGATCAATACATATATCTTAGCCCCTGTTTAGTGTTGAATAAAATTAGATTTTTAGTATATTTTGATAAAAGTTGATAAAATATATGACTGAGAAGTTGTGAGTTTCATAAAATGTACGGTTCAATTCCCTACTACCTTTTCTTTCATTTTCAATTATTAATTATACTTGTCTGAAGTCAGAAACACCACATACATAATTGTCATAATAGTAAGAAAATACAAAATATATTCGACATGTACATACATGTTTACACGTACACGCACCCAAACAGAGAAACAAACTCACATGGTAAGGATCCCACTTTGTATACCTTAAAAACTCAGTGTTTCTTTTCACTCATGCTTTACAAAACCCATAAAACATCTGCCATGGAAACCACAGAATCTCCCTCAATTGAGAGCTTTTCATATAGTTGGTCAGTTAATTTCCAACCGTCGATTTTCAACGATTCATTTCGATCCTCTATTGACAGCCCTGATAAAGATGATCAAGCTTCTTTCATTGAAATGGATCCAAGATTACCACCCTCAAAACGATTTTTCAGAGTTCCACAAGATTTTAGCTTTGATTTTCCCGTATCAGAACCTCCTCTATCCCTTGTTCATGCTGATGAACTCATTTCCAATGGCTTCCTTATGCCTCTTTTTGTCAAAGATCTGAATAAAGAAATTGAAGAATATGATGCTCAATATTCCTCCATATCAACTACGCCTACGCCCTCTAGAAGTAGGGTTAGTCGTGCTGATGCCGCGTTTTTCTGTAGTGCTTTGAGAAAGTGTAAGAGATTATCGAAGCATTTTCTTCGAAAATATTTGAATGTTTTTAAGCTGATCGGTCAAAGAATGAGGGGGCGTCGTTTTAGAGTTGGGAGTAGTAGTAATATGAAGATGCATGAACTGAATGGCTGGGATTTTTCACAGGCTACATCTCCAAGAACTAGTGTAGCTTATTCTGCAGATAATTGGCGCCGGTCTTGTGATTCTGAGAGCTCCATTTATGAAGCAGTTCTTCACTGTAAAAGAACACAAGGTACGTTCATTCAACTATCTCATCTAAAAGCTAGTTATTTATGTCAACAACACGTTGCTTCATGTGCACATGGGATTTAATTTCTTATAAAAACATAATTTTTCATACTGTGAAACTTGGACCTTTTTGTCTGTTCTTATTTCCTGTTGAAACCTCCCTTCTCAAAGTTTAAGTTGCATAGATAGGGTTCACTTGCAGCTTCTATCGTATAGTCATATTAGGATAATTTCCATAGACTGTAACATTCTCAAGAATTTTGATTACTTCAGGCAGGTAAACTGAGCTTCTTTTTATCTGAGAATTATGGACCAACGGGTAGATGGAAACAGGAGAAGATTAAGATAAAGTGTCTCGAGAACTTGATCATGATTCATCCATCTTTTGTCTGTTTTGAAGAATGATGATACATAAATTTGTCTTCTTGAGGAACCAGCAAGCTGTAAAAATTTTCAGCCACAGAATTTGTTGCATTTTGAAGAAAAGAACATGACGTGTTTTTTTGACTCACTCTTCCTGGTGTTGATCTTTTTCATGTTGGAGAAGATAAATATTTTCTTGTTCTTGTAAAGGTTTGTTTGTGAAATAATTAATGTTCCAAACTTTAATTTTTACTATCATTGATCTTAAGCACTTATACCGTTTTAATATTTCATTTAATAATTTCTTGGCTCTGTATATATGTATTTGGCTTACACCTTTGCTTAGATTACAAGTTAATCAATGTAATTATGCTTGTGTATGTTACAAAAACTTGCCTCAAGGGATATATAAATCCCACCATGAATGAATAAAGATGCAAAGAATATATAATTGTTTGGACCAGTTATCGTAGCCCCTTCTTGGCACGCTAAGAAAATTTGATTATAATTTAAGTTAAAGTCGACAATTAATTTTAACCTCACATTTCATAGGATACATAACTTTTCAATCACATAATATTCCATTAACTTTTATCAAAATTTGTTAAAAATCTCTATCAAACAGGAGTTTAATAAGATTATTGACTTAATTCCAAATTTTAGTCCATGTTTGATCTTCATTTTTACTCAAATTTAATTTCAACCATACATTCTCTTTATAAAATAATTTTACACGTGGATTCATCACTTTTTTTTAACCACATATTCTTAAAAAAATAAAAATAAATACACAAATCATTTTTCACTAATTCTATTATAAAAAAAATTTCTACCAAACAAAGGCATTATATGGTATCAGAACTTAATAAGCTCAAAGGAGCAAATTAATTGATTTGTCTGAAACTGAAACGAGCTAAATCTCATATCAAATATAGGGGTAAAAGATAAACAACGTAAAAGGTTTGGACCACTAAAAAAGTTAAGCTTTTAAATTGGCTTTGACAGCTGCTGCTTAATTATGTTGCAAGCATATTCATATTCCTAAAATAAATAAAGTTGATCTTCAAGTGAATATTATATTTTAATAATTTACTCTAAGATGAATATTTTGGAATACAATGTTAAATGTTTGGTACAGTTAAGAATTTCTGCAGTTGTTTCTACTTCCACCAACTATTTATTTAAGTAGAAATTGAGTATATTGTCTTCCTGCTGAATTTTAAGTGATATTTAAGGTGGGACCTTATCAATAAAATTATTAATTAAAGAAAAATAATATAAATATTCCTTTGATAAGGTTGAATTAAAGTCAATAATTATTTTCAGTGTTTTATCTTTCTAATTTTTATAGAACAATCATGAGTATACAATTAATTATGTCTCCACTTCATAATAATGTGCATTTCCCTTTTTTTTTCTTTTTTTTTTTTTGGTGTTAATCACGTTTAACTATAAAATTAAGTCTAATTTATCTCAATGCCATGATAATTTATTAAATGAAATATTGATGTCCTACATATTTTCGTCATGAATTTATTTTTCCGAGTCCAAAATATCACTTGGATATTGAACGATAATTCAAACCTTTTAGTGAAACACGTGAGTTTTAAATTACATACATACACTTCAAAATAAAAATTAAATCACGCTAAAGCGACGCTTTCTAACTTTTCTTTTCCGTATAAGTCAATCTACGAGTTTGATTAATACGAGATATATCTATACTGAGAGGTAATTCTATTCAAGAATCTGCTCAGAAGATAAATAATTATAAGAAATAAAAAATTTAAAATTTAAACAATCAATGTAAAAAAGGTAATCTCAACAATAACCTTTTCGAACCATGCCCCATCATTTAAACCATTTGATGGGCACAAAAATTAACGCTCCGTTAACCTAAAGCTGCATGCTGTCTTTTTATGCATGCCCGCCTGAATTCTCCAACCCAAAAATCTATTCCTTCGCATGCGGCTATGAGACTGCCCAACACACAACACACACACTAGTACATAAACATATAAATACGTGTACATTTTCTAGTTTAAAACTTAAGCGACAAGAGACAAACACGTTTAAGTACATGTTTGGTATTTTTTTCATTTTTATTTTATAATTAGTCAAACTACTTTTTATTCACTAATTTCGTTTGATCAACAAGCACTACTCACTTATTATATAAATATAGATCCAAAGTCTTAAGTTCACGACACTGACGACTCACAGACGAGGACTCGATTAATAAGGGAACCCATTGGAATTATAGCGAAAATGAGTCTTCATATGAAAATTGTAACTACTTAAATCCGAACCTAATCCGAACTATATGATGACTCTTGAGTGAAACAAAGTAGAGGTCTAAACCAACTAACGTCGAAGAATCATCGAATGAATTGTGGTTAGGGATAAAATGCCACCCGAACCTAGAGCTAACTGGATCTCCCCAAAATGTGTTGAGATGCCGCAACCGCAATTAACTGGACAATGGGTCAATCCCATATCTCCCAACTATGACTAATGGTGACTAATGAACTAAGAATTTGCAAAAAGGGTAATTGGCACAAAATGTCCCTACCTTTTAAGTTTATTGTCGAAAACATTCATACCTTTCATTTTTTTGGTATTTTTGCCCCTACCTTCCACATTTCTTTGCATAGAAGGCCCTTTTAACGATTTCACCCTCCATTGAAATGAAACAAAAAGAAAAGAAAAGAAAAAATAAATAATTAATTGCAATCATAGTCCCAAAATTTTTTTAAAAATTATAAATCAGTCATAATTTATTGTGAACTAAAAAATTTTAAAATTAAATAGAGAGGAGAAACTTGAATGTACAGGAAAATAATCAGAAATGGAGAAATTTTTAAATCATGGCCAATGGAAACGAAATTTTTTTGAAGATTACTTGATTTTTGCTCAAACCTTCCATCTACTCTTCACTAAATAAAAATTGAGATTTATGTTTATCTATTTTTGAAGATTTTCAGTTTCATTGGCTATGATTCAAAAATTTCTCTATTTCTTGATTATTTCTTTGTACATTAAAGTTTCTTTTTTTTAGGGTAATTTTAAAATTTTCCAGTTCACAATAAATTGTGACCGATTTGTAATTTTTTTGAAATTTTGGAACTATTATTGCAATTAGTTTTTTATTTTTTTCTTTTCTTTTCTTTTTATTTTATTTGAATGGAGGGTAAAATCGTCAAAAATAAATGAAAAGGACCTTCTGCGCAAAAAAAGTAAAAGGTAGGAACGAAAATGTCAAAAAATGAAAGATTGAGATGTTTTTCACAATAAACTTGAAAAATAGAGACGTTTTGTGTCAGTTACCCCTTAGCTAAAAAGGAAAATTATCGGTAGTATTTGACTTAATGAAATATATGATACACAAATACTCTGTTTAACATTAGCAATAAAAGTTCCAATAGATTGGTCCACCACGTGTAATTCACGTGATCATCTGGAGAATCCTTATCCAGTTGTTTCCTGAATGTGGGTTGCTTTATGGGCCATTGTGTCTATTTATACCAAAATAATACTCTGAAACCTTGTGCTAAATCACGACAAAAAATTCAAGAAAATTTGACCAAAGTAACAGTAAAATAGAGTGGTTAATAATGTTTAGCATTTAATTTTTATAAAGTTTTGAGTGTTAATTTCCAGTGATCCTAGGAGGAAATTGATATGAAAATCGGGCCTCTTAATCTAAAGTGTAGTCCAATTGGGCCAAGATCTGGTTGGTAATGCAGTCTTTGATGGGCCTAACCTCATTACCAAGCCCATACTATTATTAAACAGGTCCTCAGGGACCAAATTAAACAATACTGAAACTTCAGAGATCATTTGGAAACATTCAAAAGCACAGGGTCAATTGTGCAGCAGTCTGAAAGTGTATGGGACCCACATTTAAATAAAAAATAAGTGACTTTTCGACAAATGCTCCTTGTCTATGTACGGTGACAGTCGGGTCTCTTGAAATTGAATTGTTACACATTATTTAAACTTTTCCACTCACTGCTCTTAAGTGTGAATAAATGAAGAAAAAACGATTTTGCGTTGTGTACAATTTTGTCACGCAGAAAAAGATCGTGTTACATGCAATATGGACTAGACAGAAAAAAATAAGGTAGGGAAGGCTTATGTCGGAAGTGTTGATGAGCTAATTATTCTTGAAAAAATAAAAAATAAAAAAATGAAAGCACCTATTCAAAAATTAGTAAAATTGTAGGGTCCAATGACTCGAGTCAGCTTGACAGTCTTATATGTACATGTGGTATGATTATTCAATCAAATCACGGTTCCTCGGGCATCAAGCCATTCAAAATCCAACACTTCGATAATACACATCCACTGTTTCTCTCTCTTTCCATCTTGAACTCCAAGGCATTGCATTGTGATTGATCCAATGTTAGAGGGAAGTGATTTAAATGGACGATTCTGCCATACGTACATACACGTTTTTTCTCATTGTTTATGAGAGAAGTTCCTACGGTCCCATATGCGCATGCAATGAGCTCATATCCTATGTGTTTACACTACCAAATCACATGTCGACATGTTAGTAGCCACCAACTCTTGCCATAGAAGGAGAGTTCAAGAGGCGAAAGCCATACCAGAGGACTACAGTAAAATACCCCGAGGTTAGAGAGGAGACAAAAATGCGAGGCTAACATGACTCAAAAGATACTCAAGTTAGCACCAAACGATGACACTCAAGACATGGTATGATTACTTTGAAAATTCAAGACACGTCTGCAAGGTCTCCAACCTTCAAATCCACTAGCAATCAATTGAGTTATTCTTAGAAGGTCACCACAACTACCGGATGATTTGATAAATCACCCAGTTATCAAGTGTGACGCCCACGAGGTGAGCAGTGGACACATGACCAAGTTTACACCTCCAATCATACATAAGATAAAAAAATCATAACATTTTTATATTCTTTTTTTAATAGAGTCACAAGTTTCACTTGATACGGTTATATAATTAAGTTCGACAATGTCAATTCTAGTACACTATTACATTTCAGCTTGGAAAAGCCTTCATCAAATCCTTTCTCATGACAATTGAAGAAAAATATGTACTTATCCTTAGTGATCAAACCATATTTTCCTCTTGGCACATCAAGTTCATTGGAGACCTCAAAAATCTAGAGTTCCTCACTTGATCGAGTGACGAAAGTTTTAGAGAATGACTGGAAGAATTAATGTCTCCAAAACCTTGTGAGAGTGACTGTTCTCAACATCTTTCAAAACAGAAGCAGCCACAATATCTTTGCCTTCAGAATTCGAACATTTGAGGAATTTTTCACCATTTTTGTTATCTGAGCTAGCATTTCTTTTGTGGAACCATTTCACGGATGGTTTAGGACGTGACTCACTAATTGCAATGGCTATATCATTTGGGAATAGATCGCCCAATACGAAGGCATGAATAATAGTTGTTACGAGCACTGATGCAACAGTAAGAGTAGCCACTGCACAGAGGACGACGGTTAAACTTTTGGTTACTATGTTGGTAACCACGACTGAGTATCTAATCGTGGCAATGGCAGCTCCAGTCATAGGGAAAGTGTAAGCCCACCATGCCAATGAGAACCTGTAGATAGTAATTGGGCAAATTTGAGATTTGACAATGGTTAGATAGCTTAAAATGATGCTGCTAATATGAAGTTGAGCTGTACCTGAAGCCTCGGAAGAAATTAACGCGGACAGCCTAGGGAGAGCGAAAGAAAATGAAAATATATTAGCAATGTATGCCTAGTGGAGCACGTTGTGATTTAACCTCAATCCCAAATTCTGAGAATAATAAAATAAAATGAAATCAGAAACAAACAAGAACACAGATTTATAGTGGTTCTCCCTCAATGTTAGATATACTTTGATTGGCTAGTTTTTTATTTTTTGCTCTGTAGTCCAACATAGCATCTACTAATGCTGCCATGGCTATTGAAGCAAAAGTGTTTACTTAAATACAAGGCTCGGAGTTAAGGTTTAGAGAGACTAACCAGAGAGAAATAAAGGAACAAGGCAATGAAGTAGGCAATTCGTGCTCCATAGTCGAAGGACCCTTGAATCCTTGCCCATGCCATAGAGGCAACACTAGGTGCAGCAACGAACAGAAAGAAAACCGGGTGGAGATCTTTTGGGAGTGTCACATTTGTTGGAAGTCTTTGGTAGAGAGTTACAAATAAGACTACGTAATGAGCCAATCCAACAGCAAATAAAAACATAGGACCTTCTTTTAGCCCCATGGATGCACCAAGCAGTGCACCAACAAAGTTCCCAACAATTGAGAGATGACTCGAGGGATTGGCCACCTTAGAAAGCCTTCGCTGCCCTCCCAACATCCACTGTCCATAGATCTTAAGCTCGAGGCAAAAAACAGGGGCCATAAGAATGTACCAAAGAGATTGGTGCAGCTTTTGAGAAACTGATGGAGGAACTCCAAGGGCCAAGAACAAAAGGGCAATCCACGGAGCAAAGAAGAAGTTAACACGAACTGGATGGTAGTACTCACGACGAACTGCCTCAAAGTAAAAAATCACTTTCAGACAATAAATAAAAGAGATAATTGCCACTAGAGCGAGAGATGAGCACCACAGGACCAGATTTATGTCCGGGTTTACATGGAGGAACCTAGTAGAAGCAGAAGTCGCCAGGGTTTTCCACATTATGGCTTGGCTGCTAATGCCAAGACAAATACCAAAGGAAGAGATAGGGAAGCGTAGAAGGAACGGCCATTTCTTATCTTTCGGAAGAAGTATTTCTTCGGAAGCCTGTTAAGAGAAAATACGACCATTCAATAGTGAGGAAAGAATATGAAACAATTTCAACCAAAAAGTTGACAAGTGAAAAACACATACCCGCAAGGTATCCAATTCTGGCCCCTCTAATGCATCAAAGTAACGGTCTGCTGGTAAAATTTCAACTTCTGCAGGTCTCTGAGTCTCAAGGTCTACCTCAGTTTCCCTATGCTTTCCACGCAAATTTGATATTTGCCCCTCAAGTTTTCCCGACCATGTCTTGAAAGAGTCGAATCTTTTATCCTTGTGTACATCAATCCTAGGATTCTTCGGTGGAAGGCCTGGATCCTTGGGAGATTTTCCACTAGCAATGGCCTCATTAACTACTGGACGTTTTGGAATCGGCTGAGAATAAAATTTGGTCTGTCTATTATTTTTGGATGCAACTGCAGATCTGGGAATATCATTGCTGATAATTGCTCTATCATTATATTCGAAGACACCCCTTTTTGTGTTATGTAAATGAACTCCAACCGGAGAAGGTGGCATGCTAATGGAAACAAACTGCATCCTCTGAGAGTTAGAAAGATCATTTTGCCCTTCTACACAAACTGTTTCAGTTCCCTAAGAAGATCAATTAAAAAGTACTATAACAGTATTTAGTGTTGATCGGTGTGTTTTTAGCCCATGACGCGGCTGCTCAGATCTGAATAATTGCAGAGAATTAATAAAGTTACCTTAGGTGACAAGTCAGAAGAATGAAAGCCATTTGATTTGAATCGATCATTTACATCATCAGGCTGTTTAACAGCATCGAAACCAGCCACTTCATGTGCAGTAATAACTTTGATCAATGATGGAAGCACTTCAGGGGAATCGTTCTTCGCCAAATGATGTTGTTTGCAATCCTCCATAACAACGCAGTTATACCTATAGACGAGTAAATTTCTGTAAGGATTTTAGTAATACTACTATAGAATTTCAGGTCATCAATGAAAATAGAATTTTATATTATGTTCTTGGACAGATTCAGGTCACCAGAAAATTGACAATAGCCCAAAACCTACTTGAAAGTACGTCGTTATTCTTCGATTACTTGAAATAGTTTTTGAAGATGAAATCAGATACCATTGCACTAGATAACATAGAAGTGTGTTCCTGTCTTTAAATGCTTTGATGAATAAGCAGAGAACGGGATTTAAAGTTGTCTATGAATTAAGTTTTAAGTAAATCATTTATTTTTTAAGCAGTTTCCTCTTTTACTAAACCATCCTACCAGATTTTGCACTCATCTCTTATTATAAAATCATCCAATTTGCCAAGAAGTTGAACATTGGACAAAAATAAGTACAAAAATTGCGAGCTTTTGCAATGCAAAATCATCACGACTCACCTCAAATTCCCGTTTCTTGTTAATTGCTAATGACAGAAAGCAATCCAAACGTCCAATGGTTTCAGTCAAGCAAGCAACCTACAAAAGCACTCAGCTCAAACTCAAATCCAAATTTAGCTCGATCACGAAAACAGTTTGTTCTTCTCGTTATAGCACGGACAGTTAAAAAACCGAGATCAAAGTTGTAATTCTGGATACAACCTTGTTTTTTAGATAAAGAACACATAAATGTCAGCTACAGGAAGCAACATTTGTATAGAACTGCGCATGCAGTGTTCTCGGAAGTACCTCGTCACGTCACAAAACGTACAATGGATACAGCTGCCAAACATGAAAACGACATATTGATTAAACTAAGAAAAAATGTATCAAACAGAATAAAAAGATAAAGGTGCGTCCATTGAATGGAGTATAATATGTGATAAGCAGCTACACATTTTGACATTTGGTCATTGCACTAAACAACTAATAAGCAAAAGGACATATCCAGACAATATCGAATTTTGAAAATTAGATTAGAACTGCCGATTTTTACATCAACAAGATTTTAGGCAATAGAATTTTTGGAAAAGATGCACTCTGATGTGCTTAAAACAAGCTTTTTTAGTTTCTTTTCAAATCTGAAGAGACATAATGTGCAAAAAAGTCCAAAAAAGCATCTATAGCACAACCAGAAAGTGAGATGAAAAAGACCTAATGGTAAGAACCCAATTCGTGCTTAAATTCTGAGTTTCACAAAACATAAACGTAGAAATAATAACTTACGGAGCAAAATAAGTGATTAATCATATCGTTGAGTTTTTTAATCAGCTTCTTCTTTTTGCTGTCAAAGAATAGATAAACATCAAACATTCTACAATTTTCCAAACAATTAGCCAAGAAAATGGTCAAGTAATAAATAATCCACCAATGTCAAAGGATTAACCAATATAATATAACATGTGACAAAATTCAATTCCCAGAAAATATAAAGATACATTATAACACAAAGACAAATTCAATAAAGTAAATGAAGAATCAATCCTAACCAAATTGAAAACTATAGGTACAATCAATAAAAATCCTACCGGTAGAGAATTCAAATTAAAATTTTATCAGGCATAAATTGGAAAGCATCAAGGAATCTTCCCACCGTTGATGGAGGCTCTGTTTAAATATTAGTATAATATCAGCTTAAACAAACACATCATCAAGTCAAATTCGTACTGCCCTACTCACACACAGTCATGTAGACATGTTTATATAGAGAGGGAGAGAAATGGAAATTTTCCGTTTTGAAGACGAAAAGACAAATTGTGGGGCTCCATAGATGAGCCCACCATTGATTTTCGGCATTTCGAGGACATGCCGTAGACTCGTACGGAGTTCTTTAATGTTGAATGCACTACAGCTCAAAGTTGGTGACATGATTTTGTTATACGGAAGATTAGTGACCAAATTTGTAAGTAAATCGAAATTAATCAAGATTAGTGACCCGTAATTCACCTTCCTATTGGGTTCGTTACAGCGTAGTCCATGCATTACCAGGGACTAAGATAGGACTAAACTAAAAATAAAATAAAATGGAGTAATATGTGTAAAAACAAAAAAATAATTAAAAATAAAAAATTTACATATCAACTTTATATAAGGTTAAATTTTAAACTGGCTGGAGCTGACCTGAACTTTGAAGCTTTTCATCATCATCTAAGCCTATAATCAAGGATAGATTTCAAAGAAACTACACAAAAAAGTATAAATCTGCACCAAAAAAGAAAAAAAAAATTAAAATTTTACTAGTTTAATCATGTCTAATATTGTATATATACACGTACTGACGTGGAAGTCTTAGCTCTGGAGTGATTAGAAGCCTGATACCTAACAAAAACAAGTTGCAGTGGCATTCGACAAGTAAATTAGGTTTCCATTATTCATAGTCATAGGTGAAGTGGAATCCATTACCCTCATATTAAAGTTGGGATTGATAAAGTGGTATTCTTATGAAAAAGGTGAATTAGGGCAAACAAACAACAACCCATTTGCTTGACACCTTTGAATCAAAGAGAGTGCGCATGCGCATGCGCATGCCGTTTTCGAATTTGGACATGCATTGAAAAGATAGGTTTAAGAGCAAACTATACATGCACTAGAATTTGTAAGTTGCCCCCCGGGCACATTCGAGTTGGTGGAACAATTGCATTGGTGGACTCACAAACCTAGTGTGGAGGGTTCGATTCCTGGAAGGCAGCATTTTGGAAGGGAGATTTTATCTTGAAGGCAAGGTGCTGGAAGACAGTGGAGAGAGGTCTCTTAGGGGAAGGAGTATAAGTCATGCAGGAATCTGGGAGCCAACAAGGGCACATCCCACGATTAACTTCCTCGAGCTAATGAGGGGCCGGAGGCTCGAGGTCTAGAATTTAGTCTGGTGAAACTGGGACACTTGGGTATCAAAAAAAAAAAAAAAAAAAAAAAAAGAATTTGTAAGTTGTTTAATTTCGGTCTTTGATATTGAATACAAAGAGACAATTGAAGAGGTTTACATCAAGTCGGATGGAGACTTGAAGTCCAATTGGTAATTTTAAATTTGGTAGAAAAGCGGTGAATGGAAAAATAATAATAATAGCAAAGTGAGGCTCAATTAGACGTTTTACCCTAAATTAAGTGGCTCAAGCTCAAAATCAGTTAGTATTTTTTATCATTAAATTACCTCATAAATAAATTTGAAAAATAAGTAAATAAATAAATATATCTAGCTGAGCCTCGTCTTTTGGGATAAGTCGAGATTGGCCCAATGTGGCAAAAAAGTGAGTCAAGATTAACTTTTATTTTCATTTTTCATTTTTTAGTTCTTTTTTCTTATATGGATGGAACTATTTAAAAAGTGAGTTCCTAAAATAAAGTAATTTGATTGATTTAACATCATCCGGATTACAAAATACTATTAAATTGGAGTAAAAGAAAAACGTTCAATAAAAATATTTACAAAAAGTTGGATAAAATTGAAAAGGGATAAACATGTGATAATTAATATGACATTCGCATGGTGGCGTAATTGGCCGCTAATTCAAATTGGGTTAGTCATTATCATGACGCAGGGTTGTGGTCCTAAGTTGAAATTACAATCGTGCATTTCCTTATTAGTAAATTTTTCTACTTTTGGCCCAAACATTTTAGACAAAAAATTTAAGTTGAAATCTAGTCATCACTTCCATTAATCGTGTTTGAATAAGATTTTTTTTCAAACAATTAATCTTCAAGATTTGAACGAATGTGTTTCAAACTAAATAAGAGAAAATTAAGGCTAGGCTCCTCAACTTTTCACGTGGTACGATTACGAGTCTTTAATCTTCAAACTCAAAAGTGAAGTTCTAAATTCTCAACTATTCAAGTTTGTGAATTTGAGTCCCACGTGATCGATAGTCAACATGAACGCTAAAATTGCATGCATCATTCATTAAATTGGGGGAAATATTAATTGGTTTGACAATTTAATACTCCAAATTTAAGTCACAAGAAAATCGGACATTATAGGAATTGAAACAAAAAAACAATAAACTGACTCACAAGCAAGGACTTGATGAAAGAATGATTCCACTAAAATCCGTTACATTATTTGTGCAGCTCCATGCAGATATATAAACAGTCAAAGAGAAGGATCTATAAGGAGGAAAATCTATGCCACTTGCTATGCAAAACAAATCTAATATCCTATATGAAAGAGTGAATGAATGGTTAGACACGTGTCAAACATATACATCGTCCTGTACGGATTTCACTCTTTTATTTTCATTTTCTTTTACAAAAAAATTGTGAAATCACGGTTTTTCAGCAAAGCAAAGCCATGCCTTCTGACAAAGAAACACCCTTTCTCCATTTTTTTACACTACCAACCACGTCTCTTCAACAAATCCTCCATTCCAAATGAGACGTAAAAACCTTGGGCATTGAATTTACCCCTCTTAAAGAAAGCATCAATGAAACCGTGGAAAGCTTGAATGAGAAGAATTCTTTCGGAGTCTCGTCCGTAAGTTAAGTGTCAGTGTTTTGGGTTCCTCCAAAAATTTACAGAATACATAAATGTTGTTTATCATTCACTTAGCATGTGCTGTGTGTGAAAAAATCAAAGCTTTTACCTCTTCATTTTGCTGATTTTCTTCATTTGATTTTCCGGTATCTTCGCTCTTTTTGTTGTATTATAGCAAGAGTAGCAGTCATCACACACCCCATCCAAGCAAGTTAAGGAGTCTCCTAATTCTGTTGATATGGATTCTGTTACCTAAAGGTGCAATTTTTTTATTCTTATCTGTGTTTTTTAATTGAATTTGTTGATTTTCATGTTTACTTCCAGTTTGTTCTTTAGAAATTCAATCAGAACTTATGCCTATTTTTGTGTATTTTTAGGTTGTAGAAAGAGTTGATGGTTCTCATTTTATGTGTGTGTTAATCAACTTGCAGTTTCTCTTTATTTTAGGGATGACGTTGTGCAGATAAGATTCGTCTCTGCAGTAATTAGTCCAATACCCATGTTTGTGCTCTTCTCCCATTTCATTATAAATTTTAAAATCTATTTTTTCTTGCATATTTCATTTGTTTTAGGAAAACGTGTGTTCTTAGGTCTAGAAATTGTGGAAATTTTGTGGATTTTGTACGTATTTTGTAAGGTAGATTAGATGAATTAAGAAAGAAAAAGAAGGGTTTGTAATCTTGTTTATTTATGTGCGATCATCTGGAGAGTGCACGCACGGAGAATGCTTAGCGTGCAGCACGGAGCACTCTCGAGGCATGCACGAAGTGCACTCTCCTGGTAACACGAGTAGTGCAATGCTGTTCTAGGTTCCTCCAAAAATTTACATAAACAATACATCAAGCACTTAGTGTGTGTTGTGTGTTGTGAAAAAATCAAAGCTTTTACCATTTTCTTATCAATCACTTAAATATGAAAACATGTTTTCACTTTCTTAGCTCATTTTAATAGTTGAGTGGGATGCGAGTTGTACATTTATATCAGGAATAATGTAAAGGGGGGTAAACAAATCTTGCCCACTTCCCAAGATTTGCAATGAGCTCATTAACGGAGAGTCTCCGCGTTGAGTGGAGAGTCCGTAAGAAATTCTCTCCATCTAAGATGGAATGGAGAGTTTCTCCATCCTGGATAAAGAGATCCATCACTCTCTATCGTTTCTCCATCCTTGATAGAGGTTTAGAAATTTTTTCTCCATCCTAGATAGAGGATTAAGAAACATTTTTCTTCATCCTAAATGAAGGTTTCCTAAACCTCGAAAAAAACATCCATCCAAGTTTAAGGAGGATGGAGGCAGGATGGAGTATGGAAGTTTTTTTATGGAGGGTTTTTCCCATAAACCTCCATGCCGCATAGAGCTCCATACAGGATGGAGATAAATAGGAGTTTTTTTTCCTTTTTTTTTATTTGTTTTGTTCATGTCCTAATCGATTTAAAAATTCTTTTCTCTTCATAATAAAACTTAATTTTTCAATTTTAATTAAATAATATTTTTATATTCTTTATTTAATTTTCGTATCTTTCTTTTGTTTAATTTGTCTTTTTTTATTATATATTTTTTTGAAAATTGTTTCAAAATTTTTTTTCATATTAAAAATAATTTTTTCAGATTTAAAATTCTTTTTAATTCTTTTCGTTTTCGTTTTATGATAAAACGTGATTTTTTCAATTTTAATTAAAAAATAATATTAATTTTTAATTTTAATTATTAAAATTTAATTAAAAAAATTTATAATAATCTTATTATTATTATTTTGCCTGTAATTCTTTTTTTATTTGTTAAATCATTTATTTTCTTTTCTTTATTAGTATTGAATTGAATGAAGTAAAGTGGAGCGTGAAAATGGAGAAATGTTGCAGTGGAGTTGATGTAGTGATGTGAATGAGCCAAGTCGAAACTCGAGGCTTGGGCTCGAGTAAAATGGTCCGAGTTTTTTAACGAGCCGGAGCCGAGTCGAGCTTTTGCTCGGCCAAGAAATCTAGGCTTAGGCCTTACCGAGTCAGCCGGGTAGGCTCGATTTTTTTACTTTTTTTTTTAAAATACTGCCTAAAAAATGCAGCCGAGTGTTGCCTTTTGGTGCAGCAGCCCGTTGCCTAAAAGCTTAGTTTTTTTTTTTAATAAAAAAGCTCGCGAGTCAAAAGGGGCGGCTCAGGCTCGACCCCGCCGGGCCCGAGAACCTCGGCTCGAGCTTTTTCCAGGCTTAGTCACGGAGGGCCCAAGTCGATGAGCCCGATTGCCATCCCTAAGGTGATGGTTGCAGTGAAGTGGTGGAGAAATGATTG